GGGTATTCACCCCACGAAAGCTTATGCTCCAATACGTCTGTTAGTCTATAAGGTGCCACAGGACTCTTTGTCAGTATTTAAACAGGAAATTCAAAGGAATAAGAAGGAACTGGATGTTTTAAGTGACTGTAATATTGGGTATTTGAAAGTCAAGATAGAGCTTTCAAGGAAAATTTAAATAATATTTTCCCAAACTAACTTGTGCCATTAGTCCCTGATTTTCCTCAGCACTAAAATTTACCCTTATTTAAAAAGAATAGTTAATTTTAAAGGAATAACTGACTATTCAAATTTGGTTTAAAATTGAGATTTTCTAAAAATACAATTCTTTATTATGCTTAAGACTAAAAGGAATGTTTCCAAGTTTTTGTTTTTTTAATGCCAATGGAAACAATTGTATAGCTGTTTTTACACAGGAACGTTCTCTTTCAGTATTTGGAACCCAAACACAAATGCACTGAAATCTGAAATTGACTATATATACAATGTATTAATCCAGTTTCCATTTCGATTATCCAAGCTAAGGAAGATGTAAAAAACAGACAGCATAAATAGTGAAAAGTAAAATGATTTTAAACAGTCTGTCATTTTTAATAATTTAAGATATTAGGAGCAAAGAAATTTGATTATTTTACAACACTGCAAGCTGTGTCCCTTTGTTTTATTTAACAATACCAATTACAAAATTGAAGTAAATGTAAAGGTACTGATTTAATAAGGCACTTCAGCATGTGCAATGCAACTATTCATACAGTTAAAGTTATGTACTTACTAAGCTATATTGCTCAATCAGGGCTCATGATAGAAAAATGGGAACTGTTTTGAGTCAGATTTCCAAAGGAGGTGAAGGGAGAGAAGAATAATTTATGAAGAGTTTTATTTCTTTCACCTGGAAGAAGGGATGTTGTCTGATTTCATCAGCGCCACCTGAACCACAGCCCAGCCTTTTCTTGGGATCTTTCATCAAAAGACGCTGAATTACATCTTTAGCTAAAGCACTCATTTCTTGGGGATACGGAGGTTCACTTTTTAATATTCTCCTGTAGAAAAAATGTTAATTACTGAAAAACATTTCATTATGGTATTAAAACAAAAGACAACTGCTATGTATATATTGGATAGTTCTACAATAAGAAATGTACAGTTTCTTGCCACTCTTGTCACATACAGTATTCTTGTATGTGAGCTTATTGCATTTGTTCTCTGTGCAATATAATAACCTGGACAATATGACCTTCTGAGTAATTAGCTTGGGAAGAAATATGAAAGCCAATGAATGCAATAAAACTCCTCAGCTGGACTACCTGAACAAATTACTAGTGAAGACATCTTTCAAGTCAAAAACTCATCTGGCCAAAGTAATAACAATGATTAAAGTTGTTTTTAAAACAAAAGAGGATGTCTGGGGAATGACAATTATAAGCTCAAATTGGAGATAAAGTTTTCCATGAAAGGACTACTGCACACAAAAAACAGTTACCTATCTTTTGTAACTTGTTCTTCGAGATGTGTTGCTCGTGTCCATTCCATTCTAAGTGCGTGTGTGCCCATGGGCACAGTTGTCAGTATTTTTTGCCTTAGTGGTATCTGTCGGGCCGGCTGTGGTGCCCTCTGGAGTGCCATGCTCATGCACTGGTATATGAGGCGCTGCCAGCCCTAGACCCTCTCAGTTCCTTCTTGCCGGCAACTCCAACAGAGGTGTAGGAGAGAAGGTAATGGAATGGACATGGGCAAAATATCTCGAAGAGCAACAGTTACAGAAGATAGGTAACAATTTTTTCTTCTTTGAGTGCTTGCTCATGTCAATTCCATTCTAGGTGACTCACAAGCAGTAACCCTGAAGGTGGGCTCACAGTTCACGGGCGTGCAGCTTGCAACACTGCTCTACCGAAGCTAGCATTGTCCCGGGTTTACTGGGTGATTGCACAGTGGGACGTAAACGTGTGGATGGCTAACCAGGAAGCGGCCCCGTAAATATCTTGAATCGGCACCTGGGGCAGGAAGGTTGCCGATGAGGCTTGCGCCTTGGTTAAATGGGCAGTTACAATTGCCGGCGGTAGCACTTTCACCCGTTTGTAGCAAAAGCAGATGCAGGCAGTCCATCTGGGGAGTTCCCCACCTCCGGAAGATCATGCTGACCACCTCCGGATGGACTGACCACTCGTTGCAAGACGAAGTCTTGCTGAGGTGATCTGCCAACACATTCTTGGCCCTGGGAAGGTGCGAAGTCACAAGATGAATGACATGCTACACACAAGTTCCTCCCCCCACCAGGGAGCTCCTTGGCAAAGGGCTGATGACAAGGCTCCGCCTTGTTTCTTGATGTAAAACATCACATTTGTGTTGTCCATCAGTATCTTTACCACCCTGCTCCTCAGATGAGCAGGGAAGCCTGGCAGGCCAAGCGAACCGCTCTGAGCTCTTGGCCGTTTACATGGAGGGAGAGATCATCTTGCTACTAACAACCTTGCATGCTGAGATTGCCCAGATGGGCTCCGCATCCCAGCTCTGAGGCATTGGAGACCAGGATCACCAACGAGGAGGGGTACTCTTTTGGAGGAGGGCAGTGCCTTCGTAGTGGAGAAGAGAATCTTGGGAAGGATCTGGAGGGCGACCACCAGGTGGATGGTGAGGAGGAAAGGAAATGAATTCGACAATGTAGCCCTGGTGGGCAAGGAAGGCAAGACGACCCCTGAAGATGATTTGTGGCATGGCTGGAAGCCCCAAGGAGGGTTCATGGATCACGAGGGAAGAGTCAAAAGGGTTGTTTAGACAGTCAGTGAAAGGTGGAGGAGGCGGCAGAAGAATGGCAAGGCCATTGGGAGTCAGGGCAGCAATGAGGTGGATCAAGTGGCCGCTGGGGGTATGGCTGGTAAGTGGTCCATGGGCAAGGGTGGAAGGATGGGTGTTGTTGCCGGTGTGTGGGGGGTAGAATATAAATGCCCAGGAAATGAAGGGTTACTCGGGAGTCCTTAAGAGAGTGAAGGGAATCATCCATTTTGTTACCTCACAGGGGAGGTCCTCAAGGGTTGTCTGGACCTCTTTGGGGAAGCCACTAGACTGGACCCAAGAGTTGGGGCATATTACTACGCTGGATGCCAAGGAGCAAGATGCAGTGCCCCGGTATCAACCATGGCTTGGAGGGCCATTTTGGCTACCAGTTTGCCCTTGTCTAACAGGTGTTGGAACTCTTGCTGCCTGTCTGGTGGAAGAGAGTCCTGAAAGTCTGCCAGTTTGGAATAGGACAGGAAATCGTATTTAGCAAGAACACCCTGGTAGCTGGCATTGCGGAACTGTAACTCTGCTGAGAATAAACTTTGCAGCCCGGCAAATCCAGTTTTTTGGCAGCATGATCAGGGGGCTAGATTTGAAGTGTTGCTGACTGGCACATTTGGTGGCGGCATGGACAACCAGAGAGTTGGGTAGTGGGTGAGCAAAAAGGAAGTCAGTGCCCTAAGAGGGGACAAAGTAGCCGTGTTCTGCCCACTTTGGTGAAGGGGCACAGGATGCTGGTGTGTGCCAAACCATTTGGGCAGGTTGTAAGATGGAGTCATGTATTATTGGTAAGGCCGTACGAGAGGGTCTGGGAGGTTGAAAGATGTCCAGGAATCTGTCCTGGCAGGGAGTCTTGAACATTCTCCAGTGGGAGACTGACAGCAGCAGCCAGGTGATGGAGCAGGGACTGGTGCTGTGCATGGTCCTCTGATGGTGAGAGGGAAGGTGGAATAAGGGCATCATCCAGTGACAACGAAGTGCCTGTAGGGGACCAATGGTTCTGATGGTGCGGCTGGGGCCAACGGTATAAGAGCATCCAGGGGTTCCTCCTGGAAGGTGGCAGTAGGGAAGGAGATGAGCGGTGTGGGTAATGCATACCGTGATGGTGGTAGGGGTCCCACGAGGGCCAGTGAGGCCAGGATTAGGGATCGCCATGCATCGACAGACCCCATAGGTAACGGAACGATGGGTCAGATGCAGGACCGTAGTCCAGAAGGTAAGACCAGTATCAAGGGTCCAGACTGTAGGAGCGGGCCAGGGAAAGGACCATGTCCAGGTCGAAAGACCAGTCGGACTCCGAAGGGTCCAAGAGAGAAGGAGCTGTCAGCACTGGTGGGACCAATGGTGCCAGACATGGGGCAGGAGAATTGTGAATGAGCAGAAGTGGCTCGTCCACCACCAGAGCTGGTGGAGAATGGTGGAGGACAAGAGGTTCATTGGCTGAAAAAGGGAGTCTGGGGCTGGGCAGAGGTCCAGAGCATGGCAGAATGTCCACAAACAGCAAAATGAGTTCTGCTGACTGTGTCAAGGGCGATAAATGGCCCGGAATGCACAGGACTCAGTGCAATTAACATGAGGGTCCCGGTGGAGTTGGCGGTGCTGGGAGTGAAGTAGGAGTTTCTGGGGCCAGAATGGAAGATGGAGCTGGCAGTGAGCAATAGCGTTTGGAACAGTGCTCCGGGCACACTCTCTTTGGAGCTGGAGCTTCCCTCATGATGTGCAACTTCTCACCCGACCCATCACAGCTTGAGGAAGTAATGCTGCATTTTGAGACGGTCCCCATCGGAGAGTCGCCCTTGTGCCCATGCTTCTTGTGCATGCAGCGGGGCTTCAGTGGGTGTGGTGGTGCTGCCGATGATGCATGTGAGGGATCCAGTGAGGTGTTCACCGCTGGTGATGGATCCCGCTCCAATGGTTGTGTCGGAGCCGGATCAGGTTGTGCACATGGGTGCATTGCCTCCTCCATTAGAAAATTATGTAGGCGAAGTTCTCAAACTGCTCAGGTCCGTAGTGGAAACAAGCGGCAGATGGAGCAGTGGAAAACTATGTGGGCATCACCCAGGCAGTAAAAGCAATGAGTGTATTCGTTGCTCACCGAAAAGGAATGAGGGCCCGAGGAACAATTCTTGAAGCCGGCTTGACGGTGCATAGTCCCGGTGCCAGGGAGGAGGAGGAGAAGTCCCCGATAGAGGAATAAAGTCCAAGGGAGAACCTAACTAACAACTATGAACAAACGGACAACTATCTAACTAGAGAAAAACTATGTACAGTAAAAGGCAAACGCAGTACTCTTAATTGACTAAGAGCACTAAGGAACAGGGGTTCCGACTCTAGCCATGCAGTGGTAAGAGAGAACTGGAGCAGTGTCAACCTAAGCAGCCTCTTAAAACCTCAGACGTGCGACATGGCCAACGCATGATGCATGTGCGGGTCAAGGGATACTATTATGAAGTTTCAGCTCCGGCACATGGCGTGCGTGCGCTCCCGTGTTTGGAATCCACATAGGGATCATCACTCAAAAAAGAATTATGCTTCTGCCAACTCACGTCTATGCCAGCGATAACTATTTAATCTATTCACTGTTGGCAGTTGACTGAAAGTTACCTGTAGTTCAACTTTTAGTCAGTATAGATAGAGAGAAGAAGAACTGGCTCAGTAGCAGTTGTTGGAGGTCTGTATAGCCTGTGTGGGTTGGTTAAGAGGTCTGTGAAATTTATTATTTCTGAAGTTGATCTTGGGGCAACTGGAAAATAAGAACCTGAAAAAAATCAGCCCGTGGACTTGCCAAAGGACAGTCAGTCCTTAAAGTACTTAGTTGAGATGGTCCTGAGTTTTTGGGTCTGTCTGAAAGAAGCAAAGTCTTTGGACCAATGTTTTTCAAAGTCTAGCCCAGGCTATTCCCAAAACCGTTATTCTTTTCATGACAGGAGAAGTTCATAAGATGCAGCTTAGATTCTAAGTCACCTGTTATAAAAAAATAAAAAATATATGGAGATATACCTATCTCATAGAACTGGAAGGGACCCTGAAAGGTCATCAAGTCCAGACCCCTGCCTTCACTAGCAGGACCAAGTACTGATTTTGCCCCTCAAGGATTGAACTCACAACCCTGGGTTTAGCAGGCCAATGCTCAAACCACTGAGCTATCCCTCCCCCCAACATGGGGTTTTAGCTGTAGAAAGTGAGTCACAATGTTGCCTGCCATCATCTAGGCCAACACCTTAATCAAGTTTGTAGCCCAGTAAGCTAGCGTGCCTTTATTATATTCTACTTTGCATTATATTCAGCAGCAATGCAAGGAACCTAAAGGCCTGTATCCTGTAAGACATTTATCTTCAGCAAGTTGGCATAAGGCTTGAGGCCTACGTACTTGGAACAAATAAACTTTGTACAGATGCACTGCCAGTATCTGATACAAGTACGGTAACTCTTCGCTTAACGTTGTAGTTATGTTCCTGAAAAATGCTACTTTAAGTGAAAGTGTTAAGTGAATCCAATTTCCCCATAAGACATGGGGAGGATTAAGTTCCAGGGAAAAATTTTTTGCCTGACAAAAAACATTATATATACACAGTATAAGTTTTAAACAAACAATTTAATACTGTACCCAGCAATGATGATTGTGAAGCTTGGTTGAGGTGGTGAAGTCAGAGAGTGGAAGAGGATGGGATATTTCCCAGGGAATGCCTTACTGCTAAACGATGAACTAGCACTTGGCTGAGCCTTCAAGGATTAATACATTGTTGTTAATGCAACCTCCCACTCTACAAGGCAGCACGAATGAAGGGAGGAGACACAATAGATGCATGGCAGTGGCTGCAAACATTCCCTGCGGAAACTAAACGTGAGTTTTCAAAGTGCTGGGGGATGCGTGCGTGTGTGCGTGCGTGTGAGAGAGAGACAGAGACACGCATTGCCCCTTTAAGTACGTTGACACCATTCTAAGTACACTGCCTTTTTAAGTATATCAGCAAGTTGAGACAGCAGCTGCTGCCAGCAAGCTCCCTCCATCCTGAAGCCTGTGGTGTCTCCCACCCTGCTCTGTGGCGAGGGGGTACAGGAGCAGGGGTACAGGAGCACCCTGACATCAGCACCCCTCTTCCCCCCCACCCCTTGCACAGCAAGCAGGAGGCTCCCGGGAGCAGCTCCAAGGCAGAAGGCAGGAGCAGCGCACGACAGTGGTGGGAGGGACACCTGAACTGCCTGCCACTTGACAGCCTGCTGAGCAGCTGCCGCACAGGGAACTTAGGGGAGCTGATGGGGGCTGCCGGCCCACCCTGGTTCCAAGCCCCCGCCAGCTAGCTCCAACAAGTTGCTCTTCCTGCAAGCAGTGGACAAAGCAGGCGGCTGCCAAACAACGTTATAATGGAGCACTGCACAACTTTAAACGAGCATGTTCTCTAATAGACCAGCAACGGAACAACGTTAACCGGGGCGACATTAAGTGAGGAGTTACTGTGTTGGGGTGCTAACAATACAGTATTTAAAGGAAAGTTCTGACCACAGGTACATACCTAACCACAAAAGGGCAATGGTAATGAATTGATGTATATGATAAGTTGAGATCATTGATATACTAACCTATAGAATTAGTAACCTATAAAATTAGTAAGGTAAGGACATACAAATAAGTAAAAAGAGAAATACCCCTACTGAATATGCATCAAACACAGTGTCACTAATATATCATATTATAAAAGTTGCATCCCAGTCTAGGGGCGGTAGGAGAAGGAGATGTAGTCCTTGGGAGGTGCCAGAATGATGGCCACTGGAGATAATGGGGACGGTGATGATGATGAGGAAGGTGATGGCTAACATTTCAGATTCTTCTACAAGGGATGGTGTGAGTACATGGATGTGCAAATGTGCATTCTGTAGAATCTCTATCTTACTGAGTTGGGGTGTTTATGACTGTGCTAAATGCATTAATAAATTCTATTTTTAGATATAGAAAAGTCCCTATAGTGCGAGTGTTGCAATTGTGCACATCAGGGTTGCCAACTATATAATAATTTGTATAATACTGGGTCTGATCTTGGACAAGAACCTGTCAACCTTTAAAGTAATACCTGTGGATTCTTAAGTAATCAATATAATTAATACATAAGCTAAAAGTTGGGATACAAGTCTCTAGTGGCAACACATACAAATTGCTAGTTATAACAGTGCCCACTTCACTAAAGATTGCAAAAAGAAAGAGGTCTAAGTTTGTTTTTAAAAAACTTCTCAAGATGAGCCCCATGGAGTTTCTAGGCTCTTGAAGACAACTTGAATCAACAGAAAAAACACACACATGTATTTCCTGAATTTATAGCATCAAAGATCCAGTGTCTGTTTCTTTGTCTCACTTATGTATGCTCTAACAATTATTATAGCATTGGTGTCAGGGGGTGAGGACTGTAGTTGTCATTGTCCATTGGGAGCAAGATCAATGGGAACCAGATACTCTCTTTCTTTGAGCAAGGTTTAATGAGGACTTAACTTGTGGGATGTAAGACCCACAAAGTCAAGAAACAAATCAGAAATGGGAAATATCCATTTGGGTATGGATGCATTTTGGGTATCTTATCTGGGAACGGATATATTTTCTTCAAATTGCCTATACAGCTTGCTCAGAGATTTAAGATTTAGATACCTAGGTAACAATACAGATACATGCTGGGTGCTCAAACAAAGGTTTAGTTCAGGTGATTGGCCTCTTAAATCTCTCGAGTAAGGGTTTATAAGACAAGACAAGACTATATTAAACAATCTGAATGGAGATGTTCAGTTTTGTTCACATTGTTTTCACTGTCTCCTCTCAGAAGTGCATCATGTTGGCAGAAAGAGAGCATGTTCTTTGATTTGTGTTGCTTGTTAGGTAATAAAGTAACTAACACCCATGATGTAAACTAAGAATGAGACCCCCAATTCTGCATATATGATCCAGTTGGATGACCTTCAAGGGCTCATATGTTGGCAAAGCTGTCCTTCTGCAAAGTATACAGTTCATCATTAGATGACAGAAGATATGACAGGCAGCTGTTCTGTTTGCATATGGTTTCAAATGTAGATAGTCTTCCATTCTACAACTATACCTCATTTTGTAGGAGTGCTTTGGAAAGCTTTAATATGACACTAGCACTTGTGTAAAAATGATCTTGCTGGAACACAAAGTTTCTATTTGTGCTGTTGGAGCTCCTCTCTGCAGCAGCACTAAAAATGTTACAACTGATTGTTCTCAAAAGCTTCAATGTCTATGCGCATGAGGACTTCTGAATTAGCTCAAAGATCTCTACCATGGTATTTTGAATGTGGAGTGGAGGTTGTACAGGTGGAGATTACACCCTTGCCATAGACCATCCATTCCCTTTTTCTGTTTGGAGCAAGGTTGTAAGCATTTAGGTGCAGTGAATATATCTTCATCTGTGCTTGGAAACCATCTACCACGCTGCGGGTGCTATCACAATTAATTATAATAAATACTAGGCAGACTCTTGTTGATGGTCTACCTGCAGAAGTTAATGAAACCAGTCTACTTCCAGACGGCTCAGTGAGAAATGATGAATTTCTGATTAGAAGGATTTGGTAGGTGTTTAATCTAACATCTGAAATTTAATTGAACTGAAACAGAATAAGTTGCATTTTTTTCTAAATCAGGATAAAAGTCATCAAAATAATTTACACGGTGGCACTGTAATAATTTTCTATGAGAAAACACACACCCTTTATTGTTTCATAACTTACCTAGAAATCTCAGCTTGGGAATTTTTCTCTCCATCAACTGTAAAAGGTGATGCTCCAGTTAATAACTCATACATAAGAACACCAAGACTCCACCAATCAACAGCCTATAAAATAAAAATTATATATATGGTACTTCAAAAAGCATATAAAAATAAAACAAAATCCTAGGAAATAGCTAACAAGAGAGAACTATGTTGCAGGTTAACACACAAAGGGTATGGTGAAATTACAGAATTAAGATATTAGAGTAATTAAATTGAGATAGCGTAGAAAATGTGTGTGTGTGCGCGCGCGCGGGTGCGCATTTCCCCATTTGGATTTATGAGAAAATACTAAATCATAGGTCATCTGCTCCAATCCCCTACACTGAGGCAGGACTAAATGTTATCTAGACCATTCCGACAGGTCTTTGTCTCGCCTGTTCTTAATAACCTCTAATGATGAAGATTTAACAACCTTCCTAAGTAATTTGTTCCAGTGCTTAACTACTCTTACAGTTAGTAAGTTTTTCCTAATGTCTAACCTAAATCTCCCTTGCTGTAATGTAAACCCATTGCTTCTTGTCCTGTCCTTAGTGGCTATGGAGAACAATTTATCACCCTCCTCTTTATAAAAACCCTTTTACATAAAGACTATTGTGTCCCCCCTCAGTCTTTTCTTCTCCAAACTAAACAAACCTATTTTTTTTTCAATCTTTCCTTGCAGGTCATTGTGATGGGTTGTATGCCCCACACTGAAACAGCCAGAGTTGGGGGCGGGTCTGGGTGCCCCAGCTATCCACTGCAGAATGGTATTGCTAGGGCAGTGAATGGGAAGACTGCCTGAGTCACTGTGGGAGTGACAGTCAGGGTAGTGGGCATGAGGACTACCTGATATTGCTGCTGCAGAGGGACTTACCATGGTGTGACCTGGCTGGAGGGCTGAGTCACAAAGCAGCTATACTGCGACTCTGAGATGGAGGAGAGCTGCAATGGTGGAAGAGAAAAAAGGGAGTACTGAACAAGGCAGAGCTATCCCCAGAATCTCCGAAGGGGGCATCACCAAGAAATGAGTATAGGACACTGTGATAGCATGTTGGAGAATGTGGGCATGATGATACCTCTGGTATAAGGCGTCAGTGATAGACTGTGCATGACGAGTACCCTGAGATGAGGGGTTGGAGAGAAACTGTAAGGCACTCAAATCTCGACAAAGGGGAAGGTGAGGGGCCATAGACGAGAAAGGACCCCAATGAGAAAGTGAAAATGGAGATGTCAATAGTACAGTCTTTTTATTTTGCTGAAGGAAGTTATCCCCTACCAGGGTGGATGCCAGAGTTGCTGCTCCCCAAGGGGACCTGATAAGCACCAGAAGTAGGTCCATGCCACAAAGGGACAGATACTGGAAAATCAGAAGAGACTGGGAGAGGCCCAAGTATACCTACAGGACTATTTGGTGAGGGTAGCTGATCAACAGCAGTGGTTGTATAAAATCCTAGAAAAGGGAATAGGACAGGTCATAAGGGCCAGGAAAGGGAAAGATGGTGTTACGGCTGTGATTCGATTTCCAGCATCCTTCCAAGTTAAATTGAAGAGATTAGGCTTCCTGATATTCATGGAGAGTCCAGTGATCATAATGGGGAAAGGTGGAAGCTGACTGTCTTGGTGGTTCATGTCTCTTGATATAAGCAAACATCTTTCTATGTAGAGGGGGCTTTCTTCAAAACAGAAAAAGATATGTTTGTAATAGTGTGACTTGATTTTCAAAAATAGTTAATAGTAACAAAATTTTAGAGCACATCTCATTTCTATAAAATAAGCTAGAATAATGGCTTGCAAAAACTAGTAAGTGTTTTCCTAAAATTAAAGTTTCAATATACATTTTAGCGTAGCATCTAAAATCTGTGTTCACATCATTGACACATTCTGGGTAGTAACTTGATATGTACATTCTAATAAGGATCACATAGAAAATAGTTGTGAGATATTGTGAGCCCGGGTTTGGGTACTTGATTTCCCACCCCCAGTCCTGAGTTAGGAGATCTGGAAATAGGCGGATCCCGATAGGGGGAAAAGATAGACATCAGTGGAAGTTCTGTGAATCAGAACTGTCTGGATCAGCAGGGTGTTGGAAGAGGATGGTGGCTCTGTGGTGATGGATCTTCCCTCCAACTTCTGGTAGCAGGTGGATAGGAGGAAAGGCGTATCTGAGGCCATCTGTCCAGGAAAGCATCACCCTTGGAAGCGTGACATATGGCCCCCCCCCGAACAATACAAAAGGGGAAGTTTTCTGTTTGTCTGGGACAGAAAAAGGTCCCATAACTGTGTAAATATCTTGGTTAGGACTGCTGTGGCTCTCCCATTCATGGTCTGCAGAGAAACTTCTCCTTAGTTTGCCTGCCAGGGAGTTGTGAAATCCCAGGATGTACACAGCTTGTACCATGATGTGGCTTCTGATACACCAGTTCCAAAGTCTGACTGCTTCCAGGCAGAGGGGATGAGATCTCGCTCCTCCCTCTTTGGTTATATACACCACCGTGGGGATATTGCTCAACATTATCTGTACAAGGAGTGAGCTTATGAGGGGAAAGAAGGCCTTGCATGCAAGGTGAACCGCCCTCAGTTCCAATAATTTTATATGCAGCCTGGCCTCTTGTGAGGTCCAGATACCCTGAGCAATATGGTAGTCCACGTGAGGACCTCACCCTATAAGGGAGGCGTCTGTCAAAAATGGTGGCTCTTGGTACGGGAAGGTTGAAAGAAATCCACACCATGACTTGAGTTTGACCATCAAGTCAGGAGTTGAGAACTCTGGTGGGAACAGTCACCGTGGAGTCAATATGATCCCTGTTTGGTCAGTAAGTTGAGTGGAACCAGGCTTGCAGACAGCGTATGTGGAGTCTGGTGAACAGAGTCATGTAGGGCATGTGATGCAACAGCAAGAGAGATGGGTGTACCGTAGTTCGCGGTTTCCAGGTGATGCAGGAAATCAGGTTTCTCATCAAATGAAATCTGTCTTCAGAAAGAATTGCTCTCGCAGAGACTGCATCCAACCATGCTCCTATAAAGTGTGTTGTCCTTGTGGATGACAAAATGGAATTTTCTTCGTTTATACAAACGCCTACGGTAGCAAGAAGCTGTGGAAGAGATCCTATTGCTGACATGATTTCTTGATGAGACTGGGCTACCAGGAGCCAGTCGTCCAGGTATGGAAACACAGTATAGCTCTAGCATCTCATCTGGGCTGGTACCACAGAGAAAACTTTCATGAATACCCTGGGTGCTGTAGTGAGTCCAAAGGGGAGAACCCAGAACTGGCAATGTGACTGTCATACCATGAAACCCATCTTGTGGGATGGGTAAATGTCCATGTGGAAATATGTATCATCCATGTCGAGAGCCACAAACTACATTCCTTTCTGAAGGGAGGGAATTATAGATGCCAGCGTAATCATCCTAAATGTAGCTTTTGGATAAAGACATTGATAAAGCTACCGAAAGTCCAGGATGGGTCTCCACACTCAATCTTTTTGGGGGATTAGGAAATATGGAAAGAAAAAACCCCTCCCTTGGTACTGAGGCGGGATGCGCTCTATTGCCCCCCACAATATTCTCTTGATAAAGCAATTAGACTTTGGAACTGGTGTATCAGAAACCACATCACAATAAAGCTACGTATACCCTGGGAGTTCACAACAGCAGAAGTGAGAGTGGTCCCTGAAGGGGGATTGGGAAGGAGGTTTGTGATGAGGGAAGGAGAGAAACTTGATGGAATAGCCCTGATGGAGAATCTTCAGGACACAACTGTCTGTGGTGATCTTGTTCCAGCTGTAGGCAATCAGAATTGAGACAACTGCCAAAGGTGACAGGAGAAGGGGGTGGCATCTATGTGGCATGCAGGTCTCGACCTGTATGTCAAAAGTGGCCCTTGGCCTGCGGTTGAGAGTGAGTGGAGACTGTGGCAGTAGAAGGAGGTGAGAAATTGAACCTCTGAGTCCTCTGGCATTTGTGTACAGGATCAGGTAGACACTGGTAATAGAGAGCATGCGGAGAAGGTTGTTTTGCTCTAAAGGACTGTCTATGGTTTTTCCTCCTGGGGACTGAAGTGTAAATAACCAGGGACCTCAGGGTAGATCTCAAGTCCTTTAGTGAATACAGGGATTCATACATCTCTTCATTAAAAAAGTTGGACTCACTGAAGGGAAGGTCCTGCATGGTGTTTTGGACCTCCCTAGGAAATCCTTACAACTGTAGCCACAAGTCCTTCAGCATAGCAAGTTCTGTGGCCAAAGTCCTGGACATTATGTCTGCGGTAGCTACTGCAGCCTGGAGGGCCACCTTTGCTACTAACTTCACTTCACCTAGAAGCAGTAGCGTAGCTAGCGGGGTGCAGCGGAAGCAGCCGCTTCCCCCGCCTTTCCAAAAGCGGCCGGAGGAGCGAGGGGGGGCGCAGGCTGGCGCCTCGCAGCGCAGCCAGCAGCCCTGGGGGGGGAGGGGCGGCGGGCGCGGCCAGAGGAGCTGGGGGGCACGACCGGAGGAGCAGGGGGGCGCAGCATGCGGCCACCAGCCCGCGCCCCCCCTCACCTCCTCCGGCCGC